ATTCTGGTCTTAAGAGCTATTCTTTCAAGACTAGAAGAACATTGTAAAATATTATGTTGCATGTGATGTGCTTAAGAGTTGGTGTATCAAAATAATTGTATGAATGATAGTAGATGAGCATTCTGATTTCTGCCCAGCTCTAGGAAAAGGTGGACATAATATGGTCCCTTTATCTTTGGTTCATAGCTTGTTACCTATCTGTGAAGGATCCACCTATCTGTGAAGGTTCTTGCCCTCTATAGGCTTGATTGAATAAGAGAGAACTATAAATAGAGACTTAAAATGTAATTTATCTCTGTGGTGGTAAAACTCATATCACTTTATGTGAATCTTTCAGAAATGCTTTTCAGAACATTTTATATTTTAAATATCTGTATTTTGGCATTAAAAATGCAAATAGAAGCAGCCTCTAACTTTGTATCTCTGCTGAGCTCTCTGCAGTACATAAGGGACTAATGTTGAACTCACACAAAACTACATTTTGGTCTAAGCCTGAGATTAGAATATTTCAGAGTTCAGTCTTTCATATTTTTTCTTTTTAGATGATTTCTTAATCTTGTCAACACTTTAAGACAGTATTCTCTTAGCTAGTTAGAAGTTAAGTAGAGCTGGGACTTTAAAAAAGTGATTTAAAAAAATTAAATATTAACAGAAAAACAAAAGTAAAAACCTCATGGTACTCTAATTGATTAGAGCTAAATTAATATGGTATTACATAAAATGAACCACTGTTTTTTTAAACAAAGGAAGGTTTTTTTTTTGTTTTGTTTTGTTTTTTTTAAACAAAGGAAGGTTTGTGTTAAAATCTGAAAATGCTATTGTATACCTCCAGGCTGAATTCCTTTTGATAGTGCAGATAACTAATAAACAGATTTAGTATGCTCAGTCAGCAAATATTTTAATGTATATTATTAGAGGTATACTTAGATCACAAATTTACTGCACATGTGTGCATACATTTTTGTTTAACATGCTCACACAAAAATTTGAGTTAATGCGTATTTTAGCCTTTATTTGACTTGATGGTAATTAGTCATATGAAACATTTAATGTAAATATATGTTTATTTTATGTGATCACACTTAAGTTTCTGGATTTTTTCCCCTTCATTTATTAGCTCTGATATCTTTGATCACATTTCAGATTTAACAGTTTTTCTTATTATATGTCATTTAGTTATAATCATTATATACACCTTGATAATATCAAGTTCGAAGACAAAATGGTTTGGTTCTGATACTATAGTATCTGTATTTCCCTTAGTCTTTGGCTTAAAGTGTTCTGTGTTTTGTCCATACCCCCAACTATATGCTGTCATCATGCGTAACTTTCTATACTGACGCATCCTCCCTGTAACACCCGCACTCCCTTGCCCTCCTCCCCCAGTGTACACAGTGTACTGAAGGAATGTACCAGCTGTACCTGTTCCTTTCTGCCTTCTTGCTCAGGCTTGAGATAGCAAATATTGTAGGCCTTAAAGTTATAGATTTAATCTGCTTCACTAGTGAAAGCATTACATTGTGCTTAGGTGTTAGAAGACCCAGGCCTGGGTTGACAGAAAATAAATACAAAAGGAAAAAGTAGCGAAATACATCTTTCTCCCCGTGTACATTAACTTTTGGTCAGAGGACTAAGCTTTATAGGAAATTATTAAAATTTTAGAGATTCCATTCCCTTTGTTTTACTAGGGGCCAGAACGAATAAATGACTTACTCAGGGTAACATAATAGTTAATAATAGAGTCAGAATTGTACTCCACATCTACTATTCTTACCATTATTGTAATTTTTATATCCAAATTTGTCAATTTGTAAGTTCCATACCTGTAATGAAATACTGTTTAGCACTAAAAATAACTAAATATTGATATATCTTATATTATTAGTGAACTGTAAAGTTTATGCTTAGTGATAAAAGTGATTAGGGACAAAGATTATATATGATAATTGTGTGAAAAGTCCAGAGAAGGAAATTTATAAAGACAGAAAGCCAGAGATGCTAGGAGTGGGCATGAGTATTGACTCTAAACAACTAAAGGGATTGTTTTGGGTGGTGGAAATATTCTGTAGCTGGATAATTGAAATAGTTGCACAGCTTTAGAAATTTACTGTAAATTATTTAGCTATCCACTCAGTTAGGTTGGCATATAAATTATACAGCAATAAGACAGTATAAAAAGAAAATATAGAAACACTGTTTCACTCTGCAGATTGCATTGTTTAGATGTTTTTTCTATAATTCTTGAAGGTAGTTCTTTTCTCCAAAAAGTAATAAAATCTGGTTGAAGTATTGGATGATTCTCTTAGCCTTTCTTGAGAAAGGGGTTAGACAATGGAATATTACTCAGCCACAAAGAAGAGCAAAATTATGGCATTTGCCAGTAAATGGATAGAACTGGAGAATATCATGCTAAATGAAATAAGCCAATCCCCAAAAACCAAAGACCAAAAAGCAGATGCTAATTCACAATAAGGGGGCATGGTTAGGGAAGAATAGATGTACTTTGGATTAGACAGAGGGGAATGAACGTAGAGGATGGGAATAGGAAAGATAGGACAGGAGTGCTTGATTCATTTCACTATGTACATGTATGATTACATGACCAATGTAATTGTTGTACATCATGTGCAACCAGAGAAGGAGAAGTTATACTTCTTAAGTTTTAACATGTCAAAATACATTCTGCTATCGTGTAACTAATTAGAACAAATTAAAACAAAATTTAAATTACAGCATCTGACATTGCAAGAAAGAAAGGGGTAATTTTAATAGGCATACATTAAACTTGGTAATATAATGTTTTCACACACACACACACACACACACACACACACACACAGGTTTTTTTTCTCCCTACAAGATTTACCTAATGTCCACTAGGCCTGTTGTGTATTTGAAACTTACAAGACTTGCCACAATTCAGTTCTTTCTTTTCTAGCTATAAAACATCCTCACTGATAAAAAGTGCTTTCATGGCTGTTGAGGTAACTTTGTAAGTTTCTCAGTTCTACTCTTTCCAGTTGCGATTTGTGCTTTACTGAATATCACTTGTATTTGTTTTTAAACCTGTTTTTTCTTGTTATTACATAATTTAATATATAAATTGATGCAGCAGTGTGGAATATTTTTCTTTGGCAAACTAAATTGAATGACTTTGAAAGACTTGATAAAGACAAAGGCTACATATTGATGTGGATTTGGTGTGGATAATTTTAAACATTGGAATAGAAATTGTAAAAATAAAAATCTAGGATTTTATATTCACGAATTCCTCTAGTGTTATGCTCCACCTTTATGAAACTAAAACTAGAAATGTTGGACAATTTATTATGTATAATTGCATGTAAGAAAGGCAGTGTTCAAAGAAAGTCGTAATCTCTAGAGGGTTGGAATATAGCTCAGTGGAAGAATATATGTGCTTAACATGCAAGTACTTGGGTTTTGATCCCCAGGACTGAAAAAATAATCTTGATGTCTGAATGAGCATTTATGTGTTTAATTAAAATGTTTAAGATAAAATATGTGTGTATGTTTAATAGTTTCCCAGTTTTACTACCAGTCTTTAGTTTAAACTGTTTTTTTAATTATTATTATTAAATAGGGTAGAACACATTTTCTCCATTTTCTTGTGTATAATGCTTTTTTCTACCATAGAAATTTGTATTTGGAACTATGAAAATCACATTTACAGGCTGGGATTATGGCTCAGTGGTAGAGCCCTCACCTAGCACATGTGAGGTCCTGGGTTCGATCCTCAGCACCACATAAAAATAAGTAAAATAAAGGTATTGTGTCCAACTGCAACTAAAAAATAATATTTTAAAAAAGGATACTTGTTGCTTTTTAATCATTAGAGTTATGCCAGTTTTTACTGTTCATGTGTTATTTTATTGCTAAAAACCAAGTCAAAATCAGGATAATAGTAGGGAAGGGTTGGACCTGGAGGTCACAGAGGGAATAAGAAGCCAGTTTGGTGGGTAGGAGCCATGAAAAGAAAGGAAGAATATAGTCAGAGGGAAGCTTGGAATTTAAGACCTCCATGATGGAAATGTGAAGTCCAAGAACTTAGAGAAGTTATCAGTGAAATTTTGACCTCCCTAAAGTTGATGTCAAGATTGGAAAAACATGACCTAATGATAAGATTATATAGAATATACAAAAATGAGTACTGAATATGCTGATAAAAGAAATGGTTTTCTTTTGGCTAATAGGTATCTACCATTGTATAAAAAAACAAAAGGAGAGGTTGGAAGAATTAAGGTACATTAACTGAGGGCTGCACGTAGAGAATTCAATTAAAATTGTTTGGAAGGTTGATCATTACCATTCAGTTTATATTGTTAATAATAAAACTCTGTTCATGTTCACCTTTTGGTTCTGGTTATATTGGTTTTCAAAAAGTTCAGTTTGTTTTATTAGTTCTTCACTGTTTTTTTTTTTTTTTTTTTTTTTTAATTACAGGTGCCTCTAAGAATTTGGTGAAAGCTTTGGGCTCTTTTCCCAAAGTAATACTTAATGGTATTTTTTAATATGTATTGGAGCTTTTTAATTTCTACCAGTAACAGTCAACTTAAGTCATATCAGTCTGTGTTTCATTCAGTTCTCAGATTTATTTCAGAGAATATGATCTTCCAGTACAGAATTTAAGGAAGAACTTTGTTGGAGCGTGGTATAGCTTTCTACCTTTTCTCCTTAACTCTCTCCTTACCTACTTCTCTGGATATAATACTTGCTTTCTCCCCTTTATTTTCTTAGAGTAAAGGGGCAGTCATCAATGGCCGTTATTTGTTTTAGTAACCATTATAAATTAAAGACAATTTTATATAACTTGGGAAGTATGAGGAAATTGCATAATGCTTAAGTTAGTTTGAAATGTTTCTCACCTGAAAAATGACTGCTTTTGGAATTTTATTTACGTATTTTTTATTGTAGGTCATAGTAATTGTTTTGATGACTATAAGAATTGTGCTTTTATTTACATGATTTTATTTTAACTCCAGGACCGTGTATACGTACAACAAAATAACGTAGAGAATGTCTACAATTTGGGATTAATTATTTTTCGAGATCAAGTTGTACGTTATGGGTGTATTAGGGATCATCTTCGGCAAACTCTATTGGATATGATTGCAAGAGAGCGGAAAGGAGAAGTTGTAGACAGGTATATCATTTATCTTTTCCTCTTGTGCTCCCCCCACCCCATGTGCTCTGGGGTTTTAGTGCTTGTGTTTTAAGAAGTGACTCACTTTCATATTAAAATCTTCAAAATACTATCACAGCTACTTAGAATTTCAACATACATCTATATTTTTAAAAGAGACCATACTAGGCTTTGAAAAAAAAAAAAAAGAACAAATACGATTTTTCGAAACAAATTAGCCACTGGTGTTTTGGTTTTGCATATATTTTTCATGCTGGCATTTTGTTTCTCTGTCTCTGTTTCTCTCTGTTTTCTTCCCTCCCTTCCTCCCTTCCTAGAATTTTTATTTCTTCTCCAGGCTCAAGTGATCTTCCTGTCTAAACCTCCTGAATAGCTGGGACTATAGGCACATGCTACTATTGCACCCAGCTGGGCTTTTGTCTTACCTTCATTTTTAATATTTTTGAAAGAACTGTTTAACATACTCTAAATTAACTAAGAACTACTAAGTTATATGTTCTGTTCCCTTTCCTGATGTGAGTGTAATACCGCTTTTGTGGTGGTACTGCTAGAGTGGTTTGAATTATGTAAGAGCAGCTCTTTGCTGAAAACTTGTGAAGTTGTTGTCAGCTTTGATGCTTGCTTAGGATTACCCAAATGCCATTTACTACAAAAAAACTATTTTGCCTAGGAGTAGCTGTATTCATCTCTGGTAGTATAACCTTACTCGCCGGTCTGCCTGCCTTCCTGCTTCCACAGCCTATGTTTTTAAGTACCATGGAAATATTTAAGCATCTTTTCTTTAAAAATTTTAAGTTAGAAAAAGGTAAGAACAACTTAAGTAACTGTGGAATCAGGATGTTTTTCAATTAAAGTTACTCTAAATTTCTGTTATAAAGGACTAACTTATTAGAGATTGGTCAATTTGATAAAAAGTAAATGTTCCTGAAAATATTTCTAACTATTGTTTAGAATCTTTATGAATCTCTAATGTAATTGGATTATCAAGTGATGTAAATTCTTTTGACAGAGGCGCAATAAGGAATGCTTGCCAGATGTTAATGATTTTAGGTCTCGAAGGAAGATCTGTCTATGAAGAAGATTTTGAAGCTCCTTTTTTGGAAATGTCTGCAGAATTTTTTCAGGTAATCAGTGAAAATGTAAATAAATGATCTTAAAATGTTTTTAACATGATTGAATGTAGTTATTAGTTTTAACATTTTGAACTTTTTTTTTTTTTTTGACATTTTGGTCCATTGGAGAAGGGGATAGTGCAAACAACTGCCACAAAGCACAACTACTCCACATTCTCATATTCCAGTAAAGGAGTTCATGGATAAAAAAGTTGAAGAATTTAAACCTGTACACATATAAACTTAGAAATATCCTTAATATTTTATATCATATTTATATGTTACAGATTTTATAAGTACCGTAAATTCACAGGCTACATATCACCATTGGATTCTTGCCACATGGGCTGTTAGTAATTAGTAATATCAATTACTAGTGAAATAAACATGGGGATATGCATAATCCTAAACTGCATATTTGCTCTAAAGGTTATTGATCAGGAAATTATAGGCCAACCCCAAACCAACTAAATTGTTAATGGTGAAGCTAAACTAGTACTAATTTGTAATGATATCATGGTAATAACAGTAATTGAGCACTGATAAATGTGAAAATATTTGTAAGGTAACGTTAACAAACATCCTGCCTAAATGCTGCAAGTGAGTATTTGTAGAAATTTTCTAATATTGCCAAAAGGGATGCCTTAGTGGAATATTGATTGAAAGTTTTTACTCCAGTAAGCAAATGAATACAAAATTATAATACCTTTTAATAATTCAGCAGTTCATTTATAAGAGCATTAGATGTATACATAGAAAAGAATTGAGTGAATTTTCCTGTCATTTACCCATAAAGAAACAAAAGAATAGACTTCCTGTTTTCTTTTTTCCAAATCCATTTGTAGTCCTTCAGGAATACTGTTGTGGCCACACTGGTGAGCTCAGACAATGCTTTATGAACTATTGACTTAAATTGTAGAAAGCAGTCTTTATTTTCTAGTAGTATGTCCACTAATTCTATGTATTTTTTACTTTTTCATAGTTTTAATTTCCTTCATTACCAAAATTTACTACAGGGGTACATGTGTTAATGTGTATAAATATTAATATGTACTGTTTTCAGTAGTAAGTGGAGATAGTCTTACTAAGATTTTTGTTCAGTGTTTTAATGTTTGTTCTAAGGATTTGATTGTTTTTAAGGATTAGCACTACTTTTTTGTAAAGAAAGTGGGAAATGTTATTAAATTTTGTACTTAAAGTTTATGTCAGTGTGTCTTCTATTATGTAATTCTTAGATACACATACATTAATGCTAGTATCAAATCAGTTAAAGTTAATTGGGATACCATTTATAATTTAGTGGAACTTATGTAAGGCTAATGTTAGCAGGTCAAGATTTAAAAGCTCTATTTCTTAAACTTTATATTCCTTTGAACCTGGGAATGGAGTGGCAGGAGAACTTTAGTATGCCAGCAAAGCTTATGATAAACATGATTAATCTTTGTAGTTATAATTTTATAACAAACACATCAAAGAAGAATTTTCAATTCCCATTTAGGGTGAGAGGCTTCCATTTGGAGTTCACTGGCAAAGTTTAAAGAACAGTGTTTTACAGATAATGTATTAATTTAGGTTTACTTAAATAAATGCTTTTTATGACTATAATTCAGACTATATGAATATGTAATGAGGAAATGTTAATGGTCCTTATTTATAAACAGTGTCAAAACCAAGTTAAAAGCAGAAACATGTTTTCCTTCTATATTTAAATACATTTTAAATATATATACATACATATATCTATATATATCAATATCATGCTTTTTAATTGCAGATGGAAAGCCAGAAATTTTTAGCAGAAAACAGTGCTTCAGTATATATAAAGAAAGTAGAAGCTAGAATTAATGAAGAAATAGAACGGGTGATGCACTGCCTTGACAAATCAACCGAAGAGCCCATTGTAAAGGTAGTTGAGAGAGAACTTATTTCCAAGCACATGAAGACTATAGTAGAAATGGAGAATTCTGGGCTAGTACATATGTTAAAAAATGGAAAGACAGAAGGTGAGCATTACCAATTGAAAAATAATTAAATCCTTTTTCTACGTTATTGCTAATAATTTTTTAATTTGTGTACGTAATTTATCACTTCTCGTTTTAATGGGATTTAATGATAATACTTTACAATGTTTAGTAAATAAAGATTTGGGGTATTTTCAGTGAATTGAGTCTTTTTTACCCCGAGTAAGGAATGAGTAAAGTTTTTTTAAAAAGAGAATTATAAAGAGACAAGGATGTCTCTTTGAGAAGAGGGGGAAGAAAGGTTTGTCCATCCTCATCTGATAGAATCCTTCCTTTTGTGTTTTGAAATGGTTTCTGTTTATGTGAGAAGGTAATGGAAAGTTGATTATAAATTTGTTCTTTTAAACCAGAGAAATTCCCATTAAAAAAAAATTTTTTTTTTAGTACTTTTATTTTATAATGTGGTGCTGGGGATTGAACCCAGTGCATCATGCATGCTAGGCAAGTGCTCTACCACTGAGCTACAACCTCATTCCGAGAAATTTCCTTTTTTAAGTATTTTTCTGGCCAACCTGTTTTTGGTAAAACCAAATAACAAAAATAGTCTTCTAGTATATTTGTCATGTTTTCTAAAATGAGATACTCTTGGATAATTGTATCAGGGGTTGGCAAACTTTTTTGTAAAGGTCCAGATGGCACATATTTTATGGGCTATATAGTCAACTGCTCATCTCTGCTGTTCTAGTGAGAAAGTAGCCATAAACAGTAACACAAAGGAAAAGGCCTGTGTTCTTTATTTGTGGACTCTGAAATTTTAACTTTATGTAATTTTCACATCACTAAATATATATATTTTTTCATTCTCCCTCCCCCCCAACTTATAAAAAGTGTGAAAACTATTCTTAGTTTATGAGTTGGACAAAAAAAAAGATAGCAGGATGTATTTGGCCCATGATCTTTGAGTCTTGATCTAAATGGCCCCTGCAGACTAAAGTAGAGATTAGGGACTGGAAAATGTTTGAAGTTTCTGGATGTGCTTGAATTACAGCATTTCTGTAACCTGCATGGAGACATGTGTTGAAGGTATTTATTAGATTTGCCCAACAAGACAAGTACTTAATAAATATATGACTTAAAGCAATAGCAGAATAGTTATTTACTAGTTTTTCCTGTTATAAGTATTTCAATGTTTTCATCAAGTAGTTGATTGTAAATTATTATTATTATTATTATTATTTTTGTGTGTGTGTGTGTCTGTGTCTGTCTGTCTGTCTGTAGGGGGATTGTGGCAACTGAACCCAGGGGTGCTCTACCACTAAGCTGTATCCCAGCCCTTCTTTTTTTTTAGTTTTGAGCTAGGGTCTTGTTATGTTGTCGAGGCTGCCCTTGAACTTACGATCCTCCTGCTTCTGCCTCTTGAGTCACTTGACTACCGTTTTTCCTGACCTACCACGAGAAACCTGATTGCAAAATGTCTCAGTTGTGGTAGGCCCTGCTCTTGAGCAGTTTATTGAGAATATGTCAGAGTCACATTCACCATTATGAAGCCAAATTCTCATGCATCAGAAAGTGAAAAACAATTTTCTCTATGAATGGAGGATAAATTTTCATTGGTTATTAGATGCACCATAGCTGTATGAAATTGCTTAAATGTTATTTCATTTTTATTGTTTTATTAGGTATGTGAAGAACTAATGATATTTAATTTTTTGAATGCCACTATTTTTCATTTACTCTTTCATTCACTACTATATCAGACATATATTAGTTTACATACCATTAAATATATAAAATATCTAAGCAAAACTTATAATAACATAGGAACAGATTAGACAAGTCAAGAATAATTTTGCTAGAGATATTTGATGTACTAAATTTGTTATAGTTTGGGTATATAAATTGCTGTTACATTTTAAAATACCTGTTTTTGATGTGGGAAATTTGTGATGATTTATGCCAAATATATGGAAAGCTATAAGATAGGTATTTTATAAGATTTGCTTCTAAGTTTTAAAAAAATACATATAACTTTAGTTTTAGAGGCAAATTATGGCTTGTCTGCCAAATCTGGCCCAACACCTATTTGAAGAAACATCAAATATTTCATTACACATGAAAATTTATATGAATTTTCAGTGCCCATAAAGTTTGTTTTGAAACAGTTGTAGTATCTGTGGCTGCCTTCTTGTTACAGTAGCAAAACTGAGTAGTAGCATCTGAGACTAGATGACCTACAGGCCTAAAACATTTAGTATCTGGTGCTGTACAGAAAAAAAATTGGCCAACCCTTGATCTAGAAACTGCTGTTCTAAAACTATTTTGAAACATTACTGATAGTAAAAATTCTTAGGACATAAATTTCTGACATCATAGTCTCCCAGTAAGTTGTTATTTCATAGAAATACTTCACCCATGGAAAAAATGGTATTTCAAATCTACATTATAGGTTTGTGAAAAATGATGGAGACCAGAGTTTCTATTCTAAATTAAAAAAAATATACAGTCAGGCTAATGTGTAAAATATAGATGTTTGCTTAGGATACCACTGGGAGATATTAAGAATAGCTGTGAGGAGAATACTAAAGAATAGATTTTTATATCATAAATTTAAACTTAACATGTAATGAAGTAAATCCTATTACACTTCACTTTATTTATTGTAATCCTTGTCAATTGAGTGATAAATTTTTAATTGGTTTTTAAAGCTTTTTCTTTATGAAGTATCTGCCAGCTATACCATAATTAGAATTATCCTTTGGTGCATATTTATAGATTCTGTGTTATAGTTACATATGATAAATTATGTTGAAAGTTTTCATTTTTTAAAATATTTTTTTTAGTTGTAGGATGGGCACAATACCTTTATTTTATTTGTTTTTATTTTTATCTGGTGCCAGGGATTGAACCCAGTGCCTCATGCATGCCAGGCAAGTGCTCTACCACTGAGCCACAACCCAGGCCCCCCAAAGTTTTTATTTTTAATGACATTTTTTTTACTATGCTGTGAGGGCAGCTTTATTCCATGTAAATTAAAATTAAAGTTTCCTGATATATTTTATTGGTGCTTTCAAAGCATCTCATTTAAAAGCTGTTCATAAATCATAATAACAACTAGGCTTTTTAAATTTTTTTTGATTTTGCTATTTTTATTTTTAAATGCCTTCATTTCACTCATTTATTTTTATGTGGTGCTGAGGATCGAACCCAGGGTCCCACACATGCGAGGCAAGTGCTCTACCACTGAGCCACAACCCCAGCTCCCTGATTTTGCTGTTCTTTAATAGTCCTAGTGGTCAGCAGATGGTGGTAATGGAAAAATAAACTTCTCTTAAACACAGACTCACATTTTTTCTATAATTTTTAATGTAGCCAATTTGTGTTTTCTTTCTAATTGCAGACCTTGCTTGCATGTACAAGTTATTTAGTCGTGTGCCAAATGGTTTGAAGACAATGTGTGAATGTATGAGTTCTTATTTACGGGAACAAGGTAAAGCCCTTGTTTCTGAGGAAGGAGAAGGAAAGAATCCAGTTGACTATATTCAAGTGAGTTACAGAAGATTCTCTTCAAGTTTTTATAAAGTCATTTGACAAGTGCTAAAAAAGATCACTTTTATTAATGTGTAATTATCCTAAACTTTAGAATTTTGCAAGTTGTACATATTTATATCAGGGAGCCAGACTCGAATGCAACTCTTCATTCGTTAACCTGATCAAGACCTTGTTTAAATAGTCTCAATAATGAATATGAATTCTATTTTATGTACGCTTTAATGTGTTGGAGGGAAAAACATTTTTTAAGTTAAATACTTTTTTGTTCCAAAATGTTTTGCTTGCAAGCAGAATTGTTAAGTAAATTATACTCCAGATTGTTCATGTTTTAATATAATCCCCTCTTCTTCATGCATTTTTAAGCTTCTCTCTGGCTAACCTGGTAGGTCAAAGCAGTGAGGCAGATCATTGATTCATCTCTAATATAGTATATGTATGTGGAAGATAACATGCTTTCTCATCACTGACATTTTGAATACGGGCTACATACAGACTTGAAAATTATATAGATCCTATAAGTTTAACTGTGAATGTATACATTTATTACCAACCAAGTTAAGATAAACATAAATGATCGTAAGTATATTTGTACAAAATTTTTATGTGTCCTAAATTTGTTTTTATTTATAAGGGCTTATTGGACCTGAAGAGTAGATTTGATCGCTTCCTTCAGGAATCATTCAATAATGACCGGCTCTTTAAACAGACTATTGCTGGTGATTTTGAGTATTTCCTTAACCTCAACTCCAGGTCTCCCGAATACCTCTCATTATTTATTGATGATAAGCTGAAAAAGGGAGTCAAAGGGGTAAGTTGTCATGCATTTACAATTATATTAAAATATATTTGTTGATTTAAGGTTAGAAAATAAAGTATAAAGTTAATAAATTTTATAGATAGAAAAATTAAGCCAAACCGCTGTGCTTAAATTTAAGTGCTGTGATCTATTAAAAAGTATTGTTTAATAACATTAAACAGGGATGAGAGGTGGGAGGGAAAGGGAGAGAGAAGGGAAATTGCATGGAAATGGAAGGAGATCCTCAGGGTTATACAAAAATACATACAAGAGGAAGTGAGGGGAAAGGGAAAAATAATACAAGGGGGAGAAATGAATGACAGTAGAGGGGGTAGAGAGAGAAGAGGGGAGGGGGGATAGTAGAGGATAGGAAAGGCAGCAGAACACAACAGACACTAGTATGGCAATATGTAAATCAATGGATGTGTAACTGATGTGATTCTGCAATCTGTATATGGGGTGAAAATGGGAGTTCATAACCCACTTGAATCAAAGTGTGAAATATGATATATCACAAACTATGTAATGTTTTGAACAACCAACAATAAAAAATTTAAAAAAAAAGTATTGTTTAAAATATTTGACATGATCATAATTTCTTTGACATTTCACTTACTTTACTCTACAATTGGCATTAAAAACTGGCATACTCTCCAGTAGTACAATGTTGCTTTCTTTTATCTGGTTCTGGATTGTATTATCAGACAGCAGTTGAATTCTGGGAACATATAGAAAGTAAGTTTGAAAATCTAACTGCAACTCACTTTCAAGCCTTTGTAATATATCTGGGGCCTTAGGAGTTCTCTTGAGAACATAGAAAGTAAAATCAAGCATGTTTGAGGGTTTTTTGTTCTTGTTGTTGTTGTTATTTTTTGATACCAGGGATTAAGCCACACCCCCAGCCCTTTGTTATATTTTATTTAGAGATAGGGTCTGAGTTGCTTTAGGGCCTCACTAAGTTGCTGAGGATGACTTTGAACTTTTGGTCCTCCTACCTGGGCCTCCTGAGATTTCAGGTGTGCACCATTGTGCCCAGCAAGCGTGTTTGATCACACTTGATGAAATGGTCATCTTGGAATTTTTGAGCCAAAAGGAAAAGTAACAAGTAGCCACAGGTTTATACAGGCAATAACTATAGTAAGAAAATGATATTACTAAGAATGCACAGAAATCATGTATCTTTTCATTTTAAAATATATAAGCTTAATCCATACAGTCTGTCACAGTATCATCTTGCCTTTATTTTAGATATAAGGGCAAGGAGTCTTTATCATCTGGATTATAACAAATTTTTACCCTTCTGTGCAAAATTTAGGTTTGAATGTGCTTAAGTGAAAAGGTCTATCTTTTGGGTATGTAAGTTTCTAATTATTATGTAGAGGTTTCTGAAATATTCTTTAAGTTTTATTTCTGCTGAACTTAGTCATCCCTTAATTCAACCTTGTGGTTCCCTCACATTTCCATTTCAGTGGTAGTCCTATCAGAAATGGAATTCTACTCTAAGACCTCAGTAAGGCTGCATTAGATAAGAGTGTAATGATTGTTCTGCTATATGAAGCAGAAGGCACTTTGTGAAACTTCATCCCTTCTGTCCTCTAGATATTTGTGTTTGTTTTCAAACAGTGTTTTAAAACTGTAGATGAGCTATGGTGTGCTATTTTTGTATAACTCAAATTTTATAGTAGTTGTCTTTTAATTTAATTTTGCAGCTAACAGAACAAGAAGTAGAAACAATATTGGATAAGGCAATGGTCCTTTTTAGGTTTATGCAAGAAAAAGATGTATTTGAACGTTATTATAAACAACACCTGGCAAGGAGACTTCTCACGAATAAAAGTGTTTCTGATGATTCTGAAAAAAATATGATATCTAAATTAAAGGTAAGGTATAAGTTAGTTGAAGTGGAGTATATCTAAGTGTAATGCTTGTCGTGATTGAACACCAGTAACGTGATTGGAAATTATTTATTTGGTTTTAAATGTGTGCTTAAGATATTGTTAAAGGTAGATTATTCATGAGAGTGGCAGTCTATCCTTACATTTGTTCAAGTTGTAGGACATTATGGTATGGTAGGATACATTCACAGAGGCCTATGAGAAGATTAATTAATAAGGAAATAATAAATATCACCATGTAATTCTGTTTCATGAAGAGATATTCATAAAGTACCTGTAAGTGAATTACCTGAGGTCCTTTTCAAAAATGCAGAGTTTTGGGCCCTGTGTATTCCATGGAGTACATAGGAATCGCTGAAAGAGTCTGGAAATTTGCATTTTTAAAACAAAATGCTTGGGGTTATTCTTAAAACCCTAACATTTCGTAACGAGGCATATAAGAACTCATAGAAAAATTTACAGAGATTATCAGCAGTGCCAATAACATAGAATCACTTGTTTCTATATTTTCTCATAGAAAAATCCATCATTTATTTGTATATACTTGTGTTTTTCCTCCATAGACTGAATGCGGATGTCAGTTTACTTCAAAACTGGAAGGAATGTTTAGGGATATGAGCATCTCAAACACAACAATGGATGAATTCAGGCAACATCTACAGGCAACTGGGGTAAGGTTCTTCTTGGATTTCTAGTTTCATATATTTTTGTTAAGTCTTTCATAACGAGGATTTTCATCTACATAACAGATAAATGATCTGGTTTCATTTCTTTAAATTAGTGACACTCTATTATCTGTGGGTATGTAAAAAATAATTTAACTGTGTTTCCATGAAAATATGTATTTAATTTTTATTTTTTCCCCACTTGAAGGAATGCACTGAAAATTAATAGAATTACTTTTTATAAAACCATTATAGAGTATAGAAAAATACAGAGCTTAGTAAAGTTTACTAGAGTTTGAATATTCTTCACTTTATCCTAGACTTTTTTTTACTTTCAGATAGTTACCTGACCTCCTTTACGTCAGTATTTTCATTCACAAAGACGATCTCCCATTCCAAGAAAAGGTGGGGTGGGGGAGTAAACAAACTATAAAAATGCAGAATTTAATGTATTATGTGTTTTTTGTTTTTTATTTTTTATTTAACTTTTTTTTTAGTTGTAGATGAACACAAGACCTTTATTTTATTATTTTTATGTGATGCTAAGGATTGAACTCAGTGCCTCACACATGCTAGGCAAGCGCTGTACCACTGAACTACACCCAGCTTGTGTTCTGTGTTTTGTGTTGTGACTCCCAAAGACACTAAGCTGGCACTTAAGTTACTTGAGGATTTAAAGTTTTTTTGAGTGACTATATGCCACTCTGTAGTTGACACCTCACATCCATTAACAGTTTTGGAGGCTTTTCCTTTGATATTTAAATAAGAAATCTTCACTTCCATTGCTCTCACAGTCCCATCACATGAAAATACTTATTCTGTAGAATGTGAAGACATTCTGACTCCATTCTAAGTAGTTAAATATCATTTATTTTGTCATAAATATGTTTTTGTTGTTGTTGTTTGTTCCATGGTGTTTTTGGTACCAGGGATTGAACCCCCGGGCATTTAACAACTGAGCCACATCCCTAGCCCCTCACTTTTAAAAAATTTTTGTTTTCCAGACAGGGTCTCATTAGGTCCTTAGGGTCTGCCTAAATTTGAATTTGTGATTCTCCTGCCTCAGCCTCCAAAGCTTCTGGGATTACAGTTGTATGCCACTGCTCCTGGCTTAAATATCTTGTTTGTCGTAGAGAAAGGCCAGTAAGACAATGCAAGTCTGTGATAAATAAAAGTCTGAGTCAGCAGGAAATGAATGATGAGATTATCCAAGATGGAATAATTTAGATTGCTTAGTGATTTATTATCTTAAATGTATAAGGGGCTGGTGTGTCCTCAGTTTCTTCTACGGTGTTATCTTCTATGCATCATCAAAGATATCTAATTTGAGTTTCTTTCAAGTAGAATAACTTTTGAAGAAATCCAAGCCTGTATTGCATCTTCATATTTATAAACCCAACCACCCCTTTAAATATCTGTATCAGTAAATCATACAGGTTAGATTAAAAATGGAATAATGGTTTGTAACAAGCTGTATTAGTACTAAAGATAATAGTTTGTCCTTAAAAGTACCTATTGATATTCTTTAAAATTTTGTTTGAAAAAAAAAATCTAATGGTAACGATTATGTATATATTTTGTAAAAGTTGTTAACCATTGTATATATGTATTTGGAGAGCACCTGCTCTGTAGCATGATATCTACAGTGTCTTATGCATAGTTTGTTAGAATGTAAACTACATGTTAAATCATGAAAGTTTTGATTAATGTAGTTGAAATGTAGGTAGGAAATTAGGAACATGTTATTTACACTAAGATGGTAAAAATATTTAAAAACAGATTAACGATACCAGAAGTTTCCTCTAAAATGATATTGATATGACCTCTTGACATTTTATCTTATTAAAAAATTTTAAGTCCAAAACTACAGTTCTCAATGATATGGGTAAGATTTTGTTACATGCTAAGAATTAACATTTTAGGCAATAATTATAATTATTTGCCACAGTTGTTAAACTTTGTAAGACATTAGACAGACCTAACCTTTCAGAACATCTGTTTTGTTTACCAGAGATAAGACATAAAGATAGCTACTTTTATACAACTACTTTGATAATTGTAATGGAGTGTCTAAATGGAACTGATAATGTTAGGAGACGTTTTCTGTTTTATACAGGTATCTTTAGGTGGTGTTGATCTCACAGTCCGGGTGCTCACGACTGGATATTGGCCCACTCAGTCAGCCACACCAAAGTGCAACATCCCACCAGCACCAAGACATGCTTTTGAAATATTTAGAAGGTAAACCTAAATCAGACTTTGTATTTCTAAGTACAAATAATTGTCCAAAATTAAAATAAATTTTGGCATTAATGATGTCCCCAGTTAAGGATGAATATATTCCATTTTAACCTCATGTTCTAAAGGAGAATTTATCCTTTATCCTTTTAATATTTAAGAATTAGTTGCATAAAACTTTTTGCAAAGGAATATTCACTTCCTTTCTTCAGCATTTGTACAGTATATTTTATACAGTTGATGTCTGTCACTAGGATAAATCAATTATTGGGTTACTATGGAGAAAAGTTAGTCTTATAAATAGCAGGAGCTCAGCAACAAGCTGAGGCAACGTGTATAGTAGCATTATTATTTAGTGTGCTATCTTTATCATTTAATTTTTAGCTAAGTTGTTGAGACCTCATATTCCCCCATTTCATTTCCTCTTCTGTGAAGAATTGAAACAAAAAGTCATTTCCAAGATGTGTTTTAACTTTTAAGGTCTCCCTTACATGTATATTTGTTCAGGATTGTTCCCCTGTAGTATGTGATTTAATATGCAAGTTGTATGATTCTCTAAAACCTAGTTTGATTTGCTGAAGGTTCTACCTAGCCAAACACAGTGGTCGACAGCTCACACTCCAGCATCATATGGGTTCTGCAGATCTCAATGCCACTTTTTATGGTCCAGTTAAAAAGGTAAATGTTCACAGTTTGAACATTCTAAGTAACTTAAAAATTTTGTTTGTATAACTGACCTGGGTAAACAATTTGTTTTATTGTTAAACCTGCCTTAAATATTAAAAAGTTTAAATATTCAATTTCATTTATAAGATTAAACTTGAGATAATGTAAATAAATATAAAGAAACTTGAGGTAATAATGGGAAAATGTAAGTTGATTTGAGGGCATACAGAGCTATGAGCCCCTTTTAAAAATTCTGTCTTTTATAATCCCTATTGCTAATCAAAACCAGTAAAATTAGGACTTGAGATTTAAGAAACACACATTAGCAAAGTCATTAAAAAATCAATAATGCATCAGTGATTTGTCTTCCTCTTAAAAAAGTAGCTGACTTTTTAATATCTAAAATCGTTAGTTTTAAGAGTAATAATTTGTTTTCATTAGTTTTAATCAAATCAGGGTCATTTGCCTTAAAACTGAAAATTAATAAGACTTAACAACTTAAATATATCTGGGCAGCAAATATGGTTTTGTAGTTGTCAATAAGATATATATATATACATATATATGCAGTGCTAAGAATTGAACCTAGTGCTTCACACATGCTAGGCAAGCATTCCACCACTGAGCTATAACCCAGTCCTAGTAAATATGTTTTATTTCAGATTTTAATTAGAATCTTCTAATTTTCCACGTGTTATGAGTCACTATAACACCAAAGTATTTTTTTAGTGTGTAAGTACTTTGGTTTTTATATTAAAATGTGTAGTAGTCATTGGATAATATTTATCACTATTATATATTTAAGTGGAAAAGAATAGGTCAAAGATACTACAGAACAACTTTTGATTATTGCTTGTTTTCATAGAGCAGCTTCTTTCATATAGCATAATATTTTTGTATAGTGCCAATAAATCATTCCTTTTTATTGCTGAGAAATATTTTATCTGAGCAGTGCTACTAAGGTTTATTAAAGAGATCAATAGACTTTTAAAGCATAGTGTATATACTAATTATTGAAGACAGAACAGGTTCAGATTTTGTGAATGGAAGTTTTCCCCTCTGCTGGTTTTGGTTTTATTTTAATGTTTTACTTTGATTGTATCATATGAAAAGAAATTTTTTAATATTTATTTTTTAGTTATAGGTGGACACAGTGTCTTTATTCTGTTTTTATGTGATCGAATCCAGTGCCTCACACATGTGAGGCAAGCGCTCTTCCTCTGAGCCATAATCCCAGCCCCATCATGAAAAGAAATTTAACCCTGCTACTTTGGGTGGTAGTGTGTCTGCAGTGTCATTTATAAGGGTGGTATTGTCATCCAATTTTACAATTTTACAGTGTTAAAATAACTTTAGCTTTAAATTTAGGGAACTCTTGGTTAGTTATATGCTCAGGTAGCTACCTGAAAATATTCACAGTGTTGGGGGTGTTGGGGATAGTCCTAAGTAAAGACTGTGTGTGTGTGTGTGTGTGTGTGTGTAGATTTCTTTTTATATGGGAGTAAGTTTTGGTGAGGGAGTGGAGATTACAGGACTTATTTCTAAAATATGTTGTTACAGATACTAGGAGATAATTATCTTTGTTCATATTTTTTAAAACATCAAACAGGAAGATGGATCTGAAGTTGGTGTTGGAGGTGCACAAGTAACTGGCTCAAATACACGGAAGCATATATTGCAAGTTTCCACTTTCCAGATGACCATATTAATGCTCTTTAATAATAGAGAAAAATACACATTTGAGGTATGAGTTGTTGTTATATATGTTTCTAACCACTTGTATTGTTTCTTCCATTTATTATCTGAGTCTTTCTTATGTGAGAAACCTTAAGAGAATCTCTTTGAATACCTTAACAGAATACTGCATAAAATTGGGCCATGGAACTATAAGAACATCATGCATTATTGGATCATTTTATGGCTGCTTTTTTAAGGTGCTGTTTTTTAAATCGGCATTATTGAAGTACAAGTTTCATATAAAAATTTCATATAATTTCACATTTTGAGTTTTAAACAAGCACCTATGTAACTTCCACCTCGGACCTGAGTATTATTTCCATATTTTTTTGTAACCCTTTTGTAGTCACTTTCATCCTATCACCCCTCGCCTCAGGCAGCCAGTTATTTGTTCTGTATTACTATAGATGAGTTCTGCCTTTTCTACACTTTCATACAAGTGAAATCTCATCATATGAGTTATTTGTGTCCCATTTCTTCCTTACATAGCATAGTATTTTTGAGATTCAACCTATTATATAATATCAGCAGTTCATTTCTTTTTGCTTATGAGTGATATTATGTGTACATGCTCCATTTTCTTGATTTCTATTTGTTAATGGGCTTCTTTGGGTTGTTACCATATTTTGGTTGACATGAATAGAATTGTATGTTTGTTTCCTTTTTTTGCTTTTGTTTTTAAGAAACCACCAAACTGTATGATTTTACATTCCTACCAGCAGTGAAAGAGAGAGCCCGTTGTTCCACATCCTCTGCAGTCTTCATAGTTGTAACCTTTTCAATTATATAATTGTCTCTCCTGGGTTTGATTTTCTTTTCTTTGATGACTAATGATATTGAGGATCTTTTATGTGTTTGTAAGTCCCTTATGTATATAGTTTGTGAAGTATCTGTTCACAAACTATATATAATAGTTTGTATTTAATATTATATGTTAAATATAATATGTATTTAATAGTTTTATATAATAGTTTGTATGCTAATAGGACTATTTTTCTATTAAATTATAAAAGTTCTTTATCCTGGATACCAGTGCTGGTAAATGTGTTATGAATATTTCTTAATTCTGTTGCTTGTCTTTTCATTTTTTAAAGGTAATCTTTGAAGAGAATTTTTTAATACTAACAGTTTTTTATTATCACATTTTTCCTTTTATAATTTGTTTTTGATGTCCTAAGAAATTATTACCTACCCTGAAATTGCAAAGATTTTCTTCCATTTTTTTAAGCAGTTTTTAACTTTAATTTTTACATTTACTTCCTCACATGGACAGTTGCTCTTTCCAGTATCATTTGTTAAAAGCACATCTTTTTTTTTTTTTCCCCTATTTAATTACCTTGGCACTTTTACAAAAAAAAAAAAAAAAAATTGACCATATATGGGTCTATATATTTCTTCACTGCGTAATCTGTTTGTTTGCCTGTCCTTTACACTATCCTGATAGCATAGTCAAATTTCTTTTTTTGCTTTAGAAAATTATTATAATATGCTTTTCAATTCCTTTTTAATTTTCCCTTTCTTTCTCTGCAGTAAATTATCGTTTGATTACATTAAAATCATGTAATTTTTTCCTATGCGTTTAAAAGGGTCTCTTGGAGTTGAAATGAAGATCATATGGTTCTTAATATAGTTTAAACTTGAGATAGTGAATGACTATTTTATGAGGCTTGAAAATTGGTGCTATATTTGTACTTAATTGAAAGCCAGTTTTCAGATACAGGTGAACACAGGAAGAACAAAAGTGTGAGTTTGAATATTTTAGTATTCATCTCCATGGCTCCCATTTATGTGGGAAACATAATAGATGACCATTTTTGTGTGATACACTTAAAATTTTTTAAATATATGTGTTATAAAGTGGCTAAGTCAAGAGGGTTTTTCCCCCGTATATATTTAACAGGTGGATCTTGCCTAGAGCATAATCTTAATTTTTATACACAAGTATGTGTGATTGGGAGACCTAAGAATATCAATTACATTGTGCCTTAGTCAGACATTGTAAGGCTTTTCAAACAGTTGGAATTATATTATCTCTAACATGTTTTGCATAGATATTTTAATCTGCAGCTTTCATAGATTATATGTAGCAAAATATACTGCTTGATAAATAACTTGCTTTTCAAAGGTCTGTTTTTTAAAGAACTGGTAAAAATAATGGAATAAGCAAAAATATAAATTTGTTTTCTGAAGCCATTATTAGTATTGCTATAATAGTGATTCAAGCTTACTCTTTCCATTCTCCAGTTGGGTTGAGATCATTGGTGCTAATGAGCAGTTATTAAGTAGAAGATAAAATTATCTAATATTCCCCATTTTAGCTAAGTCACAAATCTAAAACCTGATCTTAGGGTACCTAGAATTCCATGCAGTGCCTGCCTGTGGCTCCAAAGCCTGCTTGCTCACACCTCAAATCCAGTACATAGTGAGAAGACATGAAATTTATTTTTACTTGTGCCATGTGTTTCTCTATAGTCTGCTGCTTATAGGAGATAGTTGAAAGTGTTTAAAAATTTTAAAGGGAACTCATCTTTATCTTTGTATATTCTTGAGTTTAGTAAGATGATGTGTTATATAATACTGCATATCAAATCTCAAAACTGAATGATTTTAAAACAAACATTTAACAATTTATAATCTATCATATTTTCTATGGGTTAGGGATTCAGGAGGAGGTCTTTCATGAGTTTGCATTTAGATGTCATCTGGGGCTTTAGTCATCTAATGGTTTGATTAGGGCTGGAGAATATATTTCCAAGGTGGATCAGATGGCTGGAAAGTTTGTTTTGGCTACTGTTAAACAGCATTAGTTTCTCTCCATGGGCCTTTCTATTTGACTGATTGTTCTCAAATCCTGGTGGCTGACTTTTCCCAGAATGGGCAATCCAGGAGCCCATACAGTGTCTTTATGACTGAGCCAGCCGCGAAAGTTGCATACTGTCCCTTCTCATTTTCTTGGTTTCCCAAACCACTTGTAGAACAGTGAGAAGACCGTACAATGTTAAAACATACTTTTATCTGGAAGCTAGGTACAACAGGTGGTGTCAATTTGCAGTGTCACATTTAATCCATAGTAGGATGCTGTAGTCTTTTCTTTTTTTACGTTTTGCATGAATAAAAATTTATTGTGTTTAGAATACCTAAAACGAGGATGTATGGAGATATATATATATGGTAATCTTATACCTTGGATTTTATAACTAGCATTTGGTTTTCAAGAAGTATGGAAAATAATACATATTTTTCTTAATACTGTTATACTTATAAAATATTTTCTAAGAATAAATTTCAGTTATAAGGACTTATTATGGACATTAATGGGAAACAGAATTGAAATAGAAATGTAAACAAGAGACTGAGAAATGGAGGAGATATATATATATATATATAATTTCCTAATTTTCCAAATCCTTGTCCTTGCCCCTGTGAGACCCAAGTTTACCATCTTCCCTTGGAGACTATCAGTTACTTCTTCTAATAAATTGCCTTGTTGGAATGGGTTTCTGTTCTTTACAATTAATGTGAGGCTAAGATAACTGAAGCCCATTGGTGTGAATATACTATGTATACAACCAGAGATATGAAAAAATTGTGCTCTATATATGTAATAAGAATTTGCATTCTGCTGTCATATATAAATAAAAAAATTTACATAAAAAAGAATTGGTAACAATCATTAGTGATATGACTTCACAATATGTAAAGGAAAATGGTTGAAAATATAAGGAGAGATAGACAGTTTCACTATCGTAGAAATCACAGGTTTACTTGTAAACAGAAAAAAGGAGGGATGTAAATTTGAACAGCACAGAGAACTTCGGATTCAAAAAGCAAAATACACTCTTGGGAAATATCCAAATCTGACATAGCCTTGTTATCAAAACTGAACAAAGAAAATACTAAACAGAGAAAGTAATAGGTTATTTAACATAAATACATAAATTTTAAATATTAATAAATTATATTCAGCAAGGTATTGAAGGACTAATACACTGTGTTCAAACAAGATCTATTAAGTCCATCCACACTCCTTATTTCTGGAATGTGGCACCCTTAGCCACCTAAGAATGGAGTGAAATGTTCTTAATATTATAAAGTTGTAGTTAAGAGAAAATTGAAGCACAACAATAAGTAATAATAAAATACTAGATACGTTCCTATTGAAGTTAGGAACAAGGTAGGATGCTTACCTTTCATACTACCTTTACACCTTGCTCTGCAGGATCTAGATAATAAACTAAGAAAAAGGAGTGAAATTTATAAATATTAGGAATTTAAAATTTTTTAAATCTTTGAACATTAGATTGTCAGCTTGGCAATGTGTGATAATTAAGAGAAAGCATTCTCTGAGTTCTGTTTGTTAAAATCACCTTTTCTGTAAACCAGCATTAATTAGGAAATGACATGAGAGAAAAAGGGTATTTTATCAAGAATAATAATCTTCCTAGTAATGGTTCTGCAAGATAAATCATTCGTTTGAATAAACAGTCCAGAAGCAAATTGATATATATTCGTGCATGTTTGAGATGTGATAAATTTATCATTTTAAATCAACCTAACTTAAAATAATTGGTGGTTCATTTGAGGTAGAAGGGAAAGGGGTAATAATGGGACCTAATTCCACTTATCATATCATATACAAAGTTAAATTTTAAGGTAGATGTGAAAATATATGCATAAGCATAAATCTGTAAAAATAATATAAGAGAATATAGAGTATGTTAATAACCGTGGCAGGAGATACATTTTTATAAAATCTATTACAAAAAGGAAAAGACTCATACATTTAAACAATTCTGTTCCTGTGTGAATATACATACCACAGTGAATTTCACCTGTATGTGTATTTATAAAGCACCAATTTAAAAAATAGTAAATAGGGCTGGGAATGTGGCTCAAGCGGTAGCACACTCGCCAGGCATGCGTGTGGCCCGGGTTCGATCCTCAGCACCACATACCAACAAAGATGTTGTGTCTGCCGAAAACTAAAACATAAATATTAGAAATTCTCTCTCTCCCTCTCTCTCTCTCTCTCTCTCTCTCTCTCTCTCTCTCTCTCTCTCTCTCTTTAAAAAAAAATAAAAAATAGTAAATAGAATGAAGATCAGTAGAGCAGAGGGAAGGAGGAAGACAGGAAAAGAGGAAGGTACTGGGGACTGAAATGAAGCAGATTATATTCCATGCATGTATAATTATGTCACAATGAACCCCTCTATCATGTACAACTATACTACACTAATAAAAACATTCTAAAACAGTAATAAAAACCTCTATATGATGAAATCTCATAAGTTAAAAGTCTAGGCAAAATTAACATAATTGAAAACTAATATATAAAGAGCATCAAAAATCAATGTGGAAACATACAATTTAGTAGAAAAACATGTCAGGAATATGGCTAAACAAAGCACAGAGGAAAAGTTACAGATATCCTGTAAATATAAAAAGACTTTTTTTATCCCAGTGATCATGAGACATACAGGTTAAAAAGAGAACATTTAAAGTCCAACCATTGTCACAGAAAAAGAAAATTAGTGTTGAAGATGTGAGGGAATGGATACTCAGGCATATTGTTAACAGGGCTTCATATTTTAAGCAACTTGAAAGACAGTTTGTCAGTATCCATCAAATATAAAATATTTATCACTTTGAGAATCCAAATACCTTTCTAGAAGTCTACTTCAGAATACCTGGCTGTTTGTGCTCAAAATTAGAAATGCATCACAAAATTTAATTACAGTTTCATTTTCCTTCTGTATGATGATAAAACAGTATAATGGAATGCCTTGTGGCTTTAATCTGTCTTAACATGGGAAATCTGAAAATCAATAGAAAAAAACATTATGGCCAGGCGTAGTGGTGCACGCCTATAATCCCAGCATCTCAGGAAGCTGAGACGGAGGATCGCAAATTCAAAGCCAGCCTCAGCAAAGCTTAGGCACTAAGCAACTCAGTGAGACCCTGTCTCTCAAATACAAAATAAGGCTGGGGATGTGGCTTAGTGGCCAAGTGCCCCTGGGTTCAGTCCCTGGTACTTCCCCCACCCCCCAGCAAAACCAAAAAACATCCTGTTGTGGTTCCATGTATGTTTAATACTGGTAGTTAAGTGGATATTTTCATGTACAAACGTGTATGTCTGCATTTGTATTCATGTATTTATAGATGAATGGGAAAAGGCATCAGTTGTTACATAATGAATTGTAATAGTTACTTCTGGAAATAATCTGCAATTTCAAGATATTGCCTAAGAAGTTGTTTCCAGTTTTTTTTAATTATTTTTTTTAGTTGTAGTTGGACATAGTACCTTTATTTTACTCATTTTTTTACATGGTGCTGAGGATCGAACCCAGGGCCTTGCACATGCTAGGCAAGCGCTCTACCACTGAACCATAACCCCAGCCCCTGTTTCCAATTCTTTGATTAAACAGTAACTAAAATAGTTCATTTTATCATATGCATAATTACCATCTCCATTTTAATAGTACCTATTTTATTTGGGGGAATGATAAGTGTGTACAATATTTGAAATGTGTAAAGTTTAATGAATGTTTAATAAAGTCAAACAGATAAATATATAGCAAAAGATTATTTGAAGCAAAGGAATATTTAGAATCAGGAATTCACATTTCTTTGAATCCTTTGAATCCTTAAATGTCCCTGTTGTCTTATGAGGAGTAATTAATATCCGTGTACAATTTCTTTGCTGTCTGATAAGACATAAGAATAATGAATTTAAAATATTTTTTCCTCAACTGCTTTTTAAAAAATTTTTGTTTTATTCATGCTATATATATGTAGCAAAAGTTATTATCTGAACTTCCAAATGTCAATGTATTTCTTACTAATATTTATATTTAATGTTAATTTCCAGGTATTTAAACTTTTCATTTGTCACACAGGCAGTAAATGTTGTCAATTGGATTCTAAGATTTGATTTTGATTTTGTTAGCCTGAAGTCAGTATTACTTTGTTTCTTTATATAAAAGACATTGCTAAGAAAATCTGATTAGCAGTTATATGTGGTTAACAGTTTATTTGTATCTAAACATTAAAGCAGGTTCCTAACAATCTCTGCGGAATGATATTTTTAAAGTAATCCTGTCTCCTGAAGCAAAAAATGTACACGTGTTCTTAATATTTTATAACTTCAATCACCCTTTAGTTTGTTCAAATGAGATTTTAATGATGAGCCAATAATATTCTTTGTTATAAACTATTTCTTGATTGGAATTACCTCTTTCTAACCACTGCTTGATCATTTTCTTCTTTAATTAACTAATCTCCTTTAATCTTTCAAAAATTCTAATTTTTGTTAATCTGGTGAAATTTCAGGAAATTCAACAAGAAACAGATATCCCTGAAAGAGAGCTGGTTAGAGCCCTACAGTCCCTCGCCTGTGGTAAACCAACACAGCGGGTTCTTACGAAAGAACCAAAGTCAAAGGAAATAGAAAATGGTCACATATTTACAGTTAATGATCAGTTCACATCCAAACTACACAGAGTCAAGATTCAGACAGGTATCTGGTAATTATATATTTCCTCTAGAAAAATTCTTATCTGCTAAATTTCTTCCTTAAAAAAAAGGAAATTAATGCTTTTTTTTTTAACAAATGTTCATAGTGCTATATGACTGACGCTTGGCATAAGAAAAACAGCAGGTTTTATTAATAATATGTTCATATCAATATATGGTTGAATCCAAGCACAGTAATAAACCTTTTAAAAAGTAATTGTAGTGTGGAAAAGTACTTCTTTCTATATGTTTTTCAACAAATGAACCATGATTTAACTTATGGTTTATGTATAATTTAAATTTCAGAATCTTAAAACCAATATTAATTTAAAAAACATGCAATGTTTTATGACAGTCAAGTTTTACAGCCTTTCAGGTTGATAGTGAAAATACTATATTATATGTGTAACATAATGTAAGATGTGTTTTTTTTTTTTTTTTTTTTTTTAATGTATTTAAGCAGAAAAAAGGACACTTAATTCTTCCTGATATTTGAAAGCAGCTTGCTACCTGGTTTCAAAACTAGCATTTAGATAAGCCTTCTACTGCTAATTCATCTATTATGGTGGATAAAACAGTGTTTTAAAATAAGATAAATATCATTTTTAAATGACTATAATTTTTAAAAATGTATTTATATCATACATTAATAAAGGTAATATAAAATTCTTTGTGTTAAATATACAATTGATTACTAAAGTAGATTGACACAAAAACTTTTGGTTTCCTTTTTTACTTTTTTGTAAAGCAGAGTGATATTTTGGTTAAAGTTTTGATTCCTATGTATGATAGTCACAAACTGTATCATTGTAATTTTCATTAGCCAAAATTAGCCATATCTTTGTGACATACTGTATGATAAAAACAAAACTGTCTAATTATGAGCATCATGAAATAAAATTTCTTTTTTCCTCTAAATGCAAAACATGTATTTGGGGTAGAAATAGGTTTTATATTTCAGGGCTTGTTTGTATTCTGGATCTGGAGAACATATAGGAATATGTATCTGAATCACCTGGCTTCATCTTACTTTAAATAAAAATTGCTTTTGTAATCCCAGATTATGATGTCCAGCATAGTATTATCTAAAAATAATCTTCACTTGATGGATTTTTTAGTTTTGGGTGTTAAGTGTGCGCATGCATGCATGTCTGTGTGGGATTTTTAGATGTAATGAAAGTAGGAATGTAGTCTATAAGGAAGGATTTGACTGGTAGATATCTCTTTTTAAGTTTTTTTCAGTGATGAAATTCTGTAAAAATGTTTTTCATTTGGAGATGGTTTTTAGGTGATCTTGGTTCTTATATTTTTAGTGAAAATTTTTTCTTCAGTGATAAATATTATGACCACATCAGTTTTCTTAAATTGTTAAAAGCTCAATAATGTAATCAAGGACTCAGAGACTTTAGCCTAACCTGTTTATACTGTTTTTATTATAGCCAGTAATAGAAACTTTAGCAAAAAAAAATTTTTTAATTTAAAAAATTTTATTCATTTGTTTGTTTATTTTTTTAATTTTGGAAATAATTTAGAGTCCTCATAATCAGCAACAGTTTCCGTAATTGACAATCTGCTCCAACTACCCATCTGTAGGTACATAAAGATACATACATGTGTAGGCATCACCTTCAGTTACACTCTTCTTAAGTGTTAGGCTCTTGGGAGTGGCTCCTGTACTTAATATTTAAAAAAAAAAGAAAAATTGTAATTCAGGATGTATCACCCTAGTCTTCCCATTTATCTTTTTTTGTAGGAATTTAAGGAGTATTCCCAGATCCACATGAACCAAATCACTTGTTTTAAAATAATTTTTTCCTAATTTTTATTTTAAATAATTTCAGATTCACAAAAAAAATTGAAAAATACTGTAATGGACATCAGAATGTCTATAACCTGTGTTTACCTAAACAAACCTAAATTACCTTAATTAAAATTTTGTCATACTGACTTTCTCTTTTCTGTCCCCCTGTATCTCTTTTAATTGTTTTTAACCTAAAAGAATCTCTCTTTGTGTTTGTGTATGTGACATTGACTTTTTTCAGGAAAAACTTTATTCTTTCTTTGTAGACTACATTATCTGATCTCTCTCTTTTTTTTTGCCAAGATGATATGATGTCTTAGCAAATGATGCTGGATGCTCTATTCTTTACCAAGGGATTCTAATTAGAAACAGCTGAATGGATATGCACGCTAGAATGATCTTCTTAATTGTACTGTCTCCTGCCCATGCCCAAATCAGCAGTGTTCTTTGCACTTCGGTGTAATTGTCCAGTCCCTATTTCCAGAAACTTTACATCTACATCCTTTTAATGACCAAAAACTGACTTGTCTTCTTTGCTGCTTCAAATAGAGCAGAGTTGTGCAAGAAAGAAAATGATGTATTTAACCACTTAGCAGTTGCTTTGAAGATCTGTAGGAAGTACAGAGTGAGATTCTCCTAAAAACTGAAATATGGTTTGGTAATAAGGTCATAATGAGAAATTGTTAGATAATAGGAGATTTTTAGTTGTTTCACTGTTAAGGAGTTTCTTTTACTGACATTTTAGTGGTGGTTTTTAATTGATGATTTAGCTGCCAGAATCTTGACTCCACATACTCTTTTCTTCCCTTAATGTCTTTTAAGAGATTATTGCTATATTCTAAGGAGGAAACAATAAGTATTTGCCTGTGTAAAATATGTTTGGTGAAGTATAACTTGAAGCCATAGTGTGGTAAAATATTAGTTGAGTCCTGGAAGTCACAAGCAGTGAAAATTGTTTCTGCTGAAGAATAGCCAGCTACCATTTTCCTTCCAGGAAAGGACTTGTGTTTTATAAATATGAAATTGATTTTATTATCTCTGTATAGTTCCTAATTTATGGAAAGAATAATTTAGAATTGAACATTGAATGTTTACTTTTTGATATTTTCTGAAGTTAATAAATGTGTGTGTGTACTTGAAGGTTGAAATTAATTTTTCTCTGAGGATAGAAATAAATTATAAGTATGCTTGTAAACCAAATATTTCATTACATTTATGGAAAATATCTGTTTCTATTTTAGTTGCTGCCAAACAAGGTGAATCAGACCCAGAAAGGAAAGAAACAAGGCAGAAAGTAGACGATGACAGAAAACATGAGATAGAAGCTGCTATAGTGCGAATAATGAAATCTAGAAAGAAGATGCAGCACAATGTTTTAGTAGCAGAGGTAAGGATACTTCAATACTTGATGAATAGAGAAAAGCAGAATAACATTATTAACAACTTAAGGAAGTACTGTTTAATTGAAACTCTTTGTGTATCACTTCTCATTGAAAACAAGACACTTGACAAAACGTACACACTGGAGGAACTAATGTATTTATGATGAAAGGATAATAATGGCACAAGAAGAATTATTGCTATTTTAATATCTTTATGTAAACAAACTACCTGTATTTCTGAAAATTAATAACAGTTGCCATTTATTGAGGGTTTGTATTTCACACATTGGGAAAACTAAAAAGGGGGAAATCCATTGAAAGACTATTGAAATAGTAAGATGACTAGGGCCTTGGTAAAGTATTAGTAACTAGTGAATCAGGATGATTGAGAGTGAGGAGTTGAACCTCTTAGGTTTCTGGCTTGAGTGAATACATAGAGGTTGTTCCCTTTAACTGAAAAATGAAGAATAATGTGCTGATGTGTTCCAGGTGTTAATATTATTTTTGCACAAGTTTGCTCTATTGTATTTTATTAGGGACATATCATTAGGCCAATTGGAAGTCAGAAGAAAGGTAAGAACTAGAATTCACTATATGGGAATATAGTTAAAACCACAGATTTTCCCAGGAATAACATGGAGGGCAGGAAGAGAAACAACAATAGGGTAGTCCCCCTTTCTTACCATATAAGGAGCAATGATAATGTGCCAACCAAGGCATGACATAAGAATGGATAAATGTGCATATAAGAGGTGAGAATTTGTGGGATTTCAAACAAACGGTCTCTTTTGTGCAGTGCTTAGTTGAATAACTTAAAGAGGAACTTGTCCGAAATTTCTTTTGAAGAATGGTGCTCAAGAATTTGCTGAATGTGAATCTGTAAATTTATTTTGGCATACATTTTGTAAATGGCCAGTTGTAGCATGAAAGCATCTGTAGACAATACATAAACAAGTTGGCTATATTTCAGTGAAGTTTTATACAAGTAAGCAACAGTCTGTATTTGGCCTGTGATCCACTTTGTTGGCTCCTGTCCTGTGTATACACGGTATAAAAACTGCAGTTTGACTCAGCAGGGAGCTGTAGTAGATGTAGAATGTAGGTTTGATCAAAGGGTGTTTATGGAATAGGACCAGAGAACCCAGAGTTGTAGGCACTGTTGATAGTGTAGCTGAAGTGATTTTGAATGTAGTCCAGGCTCTGCAAGGAAGGAAGAAATGTCAAAAGAAGCTATTCATAACCTGAAAGACAAAGTGGGTCAAAGAATTGGAGATCTCAGGTGGGTTGAGAGCAAATTTGCTGATACTGGAGTGATAATCCTGGAAGTATGACAGATTTTAGTTACAGAGTGAAGTACTGAAGTTTCATATTTCAAAGAATTGATCAATCCATTGTGACTTTGAGAAATGAACTGATCAAGAGTAAAAGAAAAGATGGCTTATGAATGAGTGGATGATCTGCAAGAGAGGCAGGATGACTTTTTGGAAAGAGCATCAACTTTGAGGTCAGAAAGGTTTAGATTCATCTCTCCTGGCTCTGTTACTTACTACTTATTCACGTCAGTTTTTTCTGTGGCATATTTCCCTCCTTTATAAAATAAGATAGCCCCCTTTTGAGTGTAAAGAACATTTAAATACATTAATGTGTGCAAAATGATTGACAAATAGTGCATAGCAGGTTGTGGCTGCTGCTATACTTACTGATGACACAATACTTAGGTTCTTGACCACACGTGGAGAAACAAATGACAACAGTAGTACCTAGTATGGATGGACATTATTCTAAGACATTGCATGTATTAACTCAATTAATGTATATAACTTCTTAAGGATCCAAAGCTAGTAAGTGATAGAGCTGGGATTTGAACCAGGCAGTCTGGGTTCAGAATTTGTACTCTTAAGTATATTATGCTATCCAAGTTCTATGAAACAGGAGAGTATAACCCAAAGGTCAACCATTAGTAAACAGCAAAATGATTAAACTGTAGGGTAGTATATATTCATACTAATATAATCCAACTAATTCAACTGCTTATCCATTTTAACATTTACATTCAAATAGAATTGCATTCTAATCATGCATTTTCAAATAAAACCTTTTTGAAATTTTCTGTACTTTCAACATTTTTTTTGAATCTTAAAATGATACAACAGTTCTATTCAAAGATAGAAATTTTTGTGTTTTTAAATGAAAATGTTAATTTTTCTGGTAGAAATTAGTCTTTATCCCTTTTTTTTTTTTTAGGTAACTCAGCAGTTGAAGGCACGATTCTTACCAAGTCCAGTTGTTATTAAGAAACGTATTGAAGGACTTATTGAGAGAGAATATTTGGCACGAACACCTGAGGATCGCAAAGTATACACATATGTAGCATAAAATGTGTTCAGAAATTTGATTTATTCTTGGACTGTATTCTTCGCATGGACTGGGAAGTTCTTTTAAATCATTAATATTAAGACGACCATCTCTTCTATTAAATTACAGTACGTGTTCTAGACCATTCAGATCAAGCCTTTACTCCCTTTGAGAGTTTTCAACATCAAATTGATTGAGCTTCAGGCTTTACGACGTTTATCCCTGTAGAGATCATCTTTACAGTTCCTCGGGAAAATGTGAATGTGCCGCGTTTTGTTTTCAATACTGTATGAAAACAGGAAAAAATAAACAAAACTTTAGAAAATACAGCTCATTAAAATAAAATTGTTGGATTTCACTTCCCCAGGTCTTCAGTGTTGATGTAAATGTGTTTCTGTAGTGTTGCTTATTAGCACTTTGCTCATTGTGTAAGTTGGGTAACAAAAATGGCAAAAGAAATGCAAAATTCCCAGTTATCTTGCTCTGCTTAAAACATTTCTTTAGCTAGTCTTATTTAATTTAAAGATTTGATAACTACACAAAGACCCGAGCATAGAATTTGAGCATGCTTCATCCTACCACTTGCACTTACTAATCTCATAGCCTTATGACCAAGAACCTTTGTTTTGGGCTCAATACATACCCTGATTTGGTTTTTCTCTATTATAATTTGAGATTTCCCAAAGTCTTATAATGATTAGGTTTTGTTCTGAGTTATTTCTAGAGAAAGAAAATATTTTAGTATGTATAAATTGTACAATAATTTTTTTGCTGTTGTACTCACTGCTAATAGTGGATTGTATAGGGTGGTGTTTTTCTTTCATTTATTGTGGATAAAAATTAATGAATTTAGTATACACATACCCACTAATTCAAGTATGTCAGAGCACAAAGTTGGCAGCTGGTTATATTTAATTCGTCCCCTTTGAAAAGCACATGCAGACTATAGTTTGTTTATAAATACCTTAGGTTCCCTCCATACACACAATTTAAATATATATTTTGGTGAAGATGTAGTACACTTAATTTTCTGTCTTGAAATGCAGTCTAATGATGCAATAAATATCACCTTGATAGTTTTAATGAAATCTTTAGTTCCTTACAGCTATGTTTTGGAAAGTGATTAAGCAATATTTTAAAAACCTGATGATTCTTGGATATTTAATAGCTATTATCCTGAAGAGTCATCATTTCATGTTTTCAAAGGTGTGCTTAGTGCTGAAGATTCATGTCAGTTATCCTGTGCTTCCAACCATCACCAATGTTTTTTACCAAATTGATCTGCCAAGGATTATAGTTTGCTTTATTTTAACGTCAGAATATTTTTATGGTCAGTTTTATTTAATTTTGTTCTCATAAGACAATGGTTCAGATATGTAATTGGGGAGAACCACTATAGATTTCCTATGGATAGAATAATGAAATGTTGTAAGTTCAAATAACCAACCCTCCATTGAGTATCCATACTGTTGATACATGTATTAGGCTATATGTCTCAGAAAACAGTTTCTGTTTAAATTGATGATAAAGTTACAACAACTGAATTCTAATACGGATTAAAAACTACACATAAATATTTTTCCCCATGTGTCTTGGGTTATAATTTTCTTTTTAGGTTTTCATAGCATTCAGATTTGTCTCCATTGAACTGTAGAATTATAAACCTTATGGTCTTAATCTCTACATTTTCCACTTTTACATGATGCAATTAAGATGCCAATGAAAAATATGAACATTTTCCTCAGGACAACTTTCACCATACTTGAGCGGTGATGAGTCAGATGGTACTACCTTCAAACACTGAAGAATTTCACGTCCTGATTTGTTTGGAATTTTCTAGGAAAGGTGTTGTTTGTCTACAGGAAGGTATTAGTATTTCAAGTTTTGAGTGTTTTTTATTGGTCTTAATTCCCAGTTAGATGATCTATAACACCTTGAAAAATAGAACAGCTCAGATTGTTAAGTTAATAAACCTAGTTATTCAAAGTCTAAATTGAGACATTAAAAGGAAATGTTAAGTGTTTGTTTAAAAATCATTAAATTTATGTCATTGTCTCAAGTGTGGCTGTACAAACCAGGTCTAGAATTTAGAGACATACAGGTTTGATGTTTATGCTTAGAAATGCTTGCTAATACATTGAATCACTTTTCTGAATTGCAGTAGAGTTAAGTGGTTGGGGAATATTAGTGATGCTACATTGAAAAACAAAGCTCACCTAAAAAGTTAATGTTTTAGTTCCTAAGTATTATTTCAGATCCTAAGATACATTTTGATATTTGTTTTCAGCAAGAGATGGTTGATGGTACTTTTTTCCACTTAATGTTTTAAATTTGAAAGAATAATGCATCCTAACCAGTCATGTTAGTGTGAATAAATTTTGGTGACTTACTTGAAGTTTTAAAAAGGGTGAATACATAGTTTTCCAACGAAAAAATGATGTAATCTCTGTTCAGCAATTGTAAAATTGTAATACTCTTCTATCATTTTTAATCTAGAACAGTGTTTACTTTGAATTGTTATATTTAAAGGTTGAGAGTTCACTGCAGTGAGCGAACACACAGCCTCACAAAATAAAAGGTGGTTGTGATTGCAAGGATTCTTTATTTCAGTGAATTTTAACGGAATGGGGGAAGGGATGTACGCTTCTCTATAAGATATACTTGGGTGACCTGTATGGCGTTGTAAACAGGCATGTGTCACTCCCCAAACCTTAGGATACTGCCCAGTAATAATCCTTGTTATAATGAAGTCCCATTGTTCTCTTTTTATCGAGTTGCAGGCAAGGTTTAGGTAGGAGCCCCTAATCTTAAGAAAATGCTGATATTTCCAGAAGCCTAGGACACTGGGCATCATCTCAGACTTCTAAATTTGATTTAGTTCCACAGTTTGATGAAAAATAATTTTAATCTTTAATTCAGATAATGCTGTTTTTATTCACCATTTATCTTCATTTTGACTACTATTAACTGTAACTAGAGAATTTTTATAGCCTAATTTTTCATAAATTATAATGTATGCTATTAGGTGGTCTCAATCTTAGAAGGAAAGCTGTTACGTATCAGTTTTAGGTGGTGCATTATACTGTATGGCATATAGACAGTCAATAAGAATTTTGTGTTTTTTGATAAAAGTGTTGAAACATTTCAGGTTAGCAAAATTATTATAAATCATTTCTAGTCCCAAGAGCAGAAATAACTAGAAACATTAGACCATATTAGCAATTAAGCACTTACCATGTCCCAGACACTACTCTGAATCTGTTCATTTAGTTGTATTTGGTAAGAACCATGAGACTAATGGTGCCCCAGATTACTGTCAAGAAGTGGCAAAGCCAGATTTAATTCTGGATTCTGACTCCTGACCCTATCTACTACGTTTCATGTTGCAAATAGAGATGATTTTACATTTTAAGAATCCACTTTGTACCTTATTCACATGAATAAGAATGTGAAAACTAAAGTTAAAGATAATATATGAACACCTCAATATGGAATTTTGCATGGTTTTTTATTGGCTTTACATTGCTGATAACTTGGCAGGGAGGAAAGCAGGGATTTGTGATGGCTGCTATTCTGAAGTGTGACCATTCAAAAGAAAAGATGCTCCCTTTCCCCTACAATCTTAGTGAAAGTTTTACTTAATTAAGTGGGTCACATAGAGAGATGCTTAATTTAAAGTCAGATACACAATTTAAAGTTTCTTTCCCTTATTGCATGCTTTTCCTCTACCAAATCAATTATTTAGCCAGAAGGCATAGGAAGAAGAGTGACAAGACTTTAATGATTCAGTGATTGGTCATGAAGCCAGCCCTCAGGAGAATGAACACCTAAAATGTCTTGAAACCTCATTTAATAATTTTAGAAATGGCAAATTTATAAACAGGTCATTTGATCTTCAGTATTATAAGTTAATCTTGAGTGAGCCATGAAAAAAATAGCTTTAAATTTATACATGAGGAGCTCAAAGTAAATGTGTTGTATATTTTTAGTAACAATGAAGTTGTCAAGTTTACTATTCTAATAACAGTACCGTTCATGTAATATATAAAACTTTAATGCATATAAGAATTCTTGCAGTGTGGAAAAATTAAAATTCTAAGTCTCCGGATTCTTTTGCAGTTGTGATTCTTGAGTAAATGCCTCAGCACAATATCTGGTATGTGGTGGGTGTAGGCACTCAGTAAATCTCAGATGAATGTGTTTAGTGATCAGTGTCTGGAAGGTCTTAAAATAACTTATTAAAAACTTCAAAAATAAAATATGTACTGCATCATTGGGATTATGACTGTTCATGGCTATCAGGATTATATTTTTTGCTTTTATAAATGAAAATTATTTGGGCTTTGATTTTCACCTAGGTAAAAAGTGGAAAATGTAAAACAGCCACTGCGTTTTTTAAATGGCATGGAATACTGATTTTAAAGTCCACTCAATGTGCCATCACGGTGATGATAAGCACTTTGCCAATATTGGTTTCTTTGATCCTCCCCAGGTCCTGTAAAAAGAACTTAAGCATAATGACAAAAAATCATTACAAGATCCCACCAATAATGGGGTGCAGCAATTTGGGCCCATGTCTCATTCTAAACCATATGAACCATATGCTCTCAATCACTCTTGATATGTCCCAATAACTGGTTGTTTGGATAGACTAACTTTATAAATTAAATTTGAATCATAAGGTTTTCTTGGCAGATATTTTAGTAAAGGTTTGTGTGTATTAGTGTTTTTGATACTGTGAAATTTTTATAGGCCTACATTAAAAAATAGATAATGTTAGCTGTACATATTGGTGTATTTGGTATATGCAGACTATTTGCAAATTTATAGAACTGGTATTAGATATCAATACTTACAGGACTGGACTTTTATTTTCTATATAATGCTATCTGTACTTAAAAATAATGACTTGGGTGATTTTTTTTTAACATGGAATTGTAGACCTAATGAGAGAGAAACTTAATCTACAATCAAGTGGGAAAACAGATGAAATCTTTTGTTCAAATGCATCTTTGGCCATATGTAAACAGTATATGAGTTTAACTGCAAAATAGGAAGATTCAAAAATCTTTATGCATCTAAATGAAGGGGAAGAGGCTTGGGAGGTTGCCCTTTTAAGCAAAAAGTAATTACATATTCTGTTCATGCATCACATTTTAGAAATTCCCCTCATTAGGTTGCCTAATTAGAACCATTTTGTAATCCTCTGTAGAAAATATTTTTTTCCACCAAAATTGTTGTTATACAAATTATTATCATACAGGTTTATAATAAGGCATTGATATTCACCACACTTGAGTTGAACTCATTTTAAAAGAATGCAGTTCATTTGAGAATGAAATGGTTTATACTCATCAAGGTT